TAAGGAAGCTTCTGGTATCTGCCTAATCCTTCCTGGCATTTCTGGGGCTGAACTTGAGCACTCCCAGGAGGAAGCAAAGCAGTGGAGTGCAGACAGAACTGCTGCTGACATGGGCCAGGAATCCCCATATTTCTGAGTAAAAGTTCTTTACTCCACACTTGTGGCGTCTGACTATATTTTTTAATTTAACATTTAATGAAATTCTATTTTGTTGTTCATGGCCTGTTAGCTCAGATAGACTGATTTTCTGGAAAGCAGATCTTATTCTTTCTTTGGGCCCACTAAATGTGGCAGATATCAGCTGCATCTGACAAAAAAAATCAAGTAGAGGTCATCAGTAAATTTTCAAATAAGTGTGTGAGAAGGAACCAAAGTGCAAAGATGAGTTTCTGCCTCTTTGAGGTATTTTTGTTTACTCCAAGGCAGTGTAAGCAGAGAATAAGAGTTTGGCTCAAGTTCAGATCAGGTCCCTGGCCTCCCTGCCCTCCAGCATACCTGTCAAATGCAATACCAGGTAAAGTCACTAATGTCGAACTAAATAACAAGGAGAGGATCTCTCTAAAAAAAGAGACACTTCCTCTGGAAGAGGGCACTACAGTGGGAATGCCCGTGCCACAGTGAACCGTGTGTGTCTCTGTGTGTCTGTGTGGTTTTTTATTTGTTTTGAGACAGAATCTCGCTCTGTTCCCCTGGGTAGAGTGCCGTGGCATCACAGCTCACAGCAACCTCAAACTCCTGGGCTAAAGTGATCCTCCTGCCTCAGACTGCCAAGTAGCTGGAACTATGGGTGCCTGCCACAATGCCTGGTTAGTTTTTCTATTTTTAGAACAGATGGGGTCTCACTCTTGCTCAGGGTGGTGTCCAATTTCTGAGCTTGCCTTGGCCTCTCAGTGCTAGGATTATAGGCAAGACACAGGGCCTGGCCAAAGTTGAAAATTACTTTTGAAAGAGTAAGTAGAATTACATATATATTGACTACAAAGATCACTAATAAGGGTCACACCAATCCTAGGTTTGACAGGCATTTGCTGGGCAGATGTTCTCACAGAAGTATTTTTTTGGTGTAAGATTGTGGTTTTTACAGTCTTCTGTGATAGTTTTGTTATCAGGCATACAAGCCTGAGAGCCCTCTCCTCGTAGTTTTCCTGGGCTCTACTTGTCAAGGGTTTTAACACAAGCAACTCCATTTTGATTCTGACAACTTTCACACTAATTTATAATAAGTCTTCACAGTATTATAAACTAACCAACTGACAGTTGATTAGAGACTGTCTGTCCCAATGTCTCCTGCCTCCACATCTCCCTGGCCCTTCTCAGTCAGCTCCTGCTCATCCCACACACCATCTCCTCCTGCCTCTGTGGTGCCCAGTACCTCACAGGCAGCCCCTCCTGCAGGCTCAGTCCAGCCCCGGCCCATGTAAAGACAGAAGCTTTGGAGGAAGGCAGACCTAATTCAAATTCTGCTCTATCATTTTCTAGATACATAACCTTGGGTAGTTTATTTAACCTCTCTATGCCTCAGTTTCTTCATCTATAAATTGGGTATAATAATACCTACTCTATAGTATCTTGTACACAAAGCAACTGGCTTGTCCCTTGCCTTACTTTCCCTTAGTTCCCAACCTTTCTGGAAGTTCTATGCTCGTTCAGATAAAGTTTAGAACACCACCCACAGAAGGAAAGTCTACTCTGCTGGACTCCCTCTTGTTCCATAACTTCCCCTGTCCTACTGGCCTCCTCTTAATGCTGACTACCTGCCACAGCAACCTCAGCCCTTCTGTTCCCAAAGCCTGGAGCCCCAGGACAGAGCCATCCCCTCTCCCTGCAGACAGACTACTCCAGCTGCAAAGCCCTCAGCCTGCCCTCCCATTTCCTGCCCTCCTGTCCTGAACTCATCCAGCGCTCTGCACCCTGCTTGATGTGGTGATTTCATGCTGTCATTGCAAGGCTGCCCTCACTGTGCCAGTCCCTGCCACCAAAGCCTTACCATGCCTTCCCCTCCTGATGGTCACTCCTTTTCCTGTCTGCTGCACACAGATGTGTGAGGATGGCATCCAGAGTCACTTGAGGGGCTAGATATGCTTCCTGCAAAAATGCCACTTAGGAGTCCTCTTGGGACTTGGCTTTGGAGCTCAGAAAACTTCCTTCTCAACACCCTTAACCATGGTGGCTCTTCATGCATCGAGGATGAATCCAATATTTTTGAAGTGTCAAATGTCATTGAGAAAAAACAAGCAGCAGCAAGTTGCATCAGAGAGAGCTGGGGCGGAAGGGGCAGCAGTGTGGGCCCGACCCGTCTTCACTCAGGATTTCTCCCTGTTCTCATTTGTTAAGTGGGCTTAGCCATAAACCTCTTGGGAGCATAATAAAAATGAAAAGTGGAATGGTGGTTACTACCACCATTAGCCTCCTGAGGACTTTGCGCAAGGACTGCCAGGCTATAACCTCTGTGGAGTTGAAACTACTGCCACCGTATTCAATGTTGTCTCCCTGGGGCCTCAGCCCCATGTCTGGAGTGCAGCAAACTTTCCACAAAGGCTTGCTGATGAGTTGGCAGCTGAGTTCCCTGTCTCTGCAGTGAGGAGGTTGTACATGGTTGTGCTGAACCTCCTCTCTGCTGCCCACCTATATGTGGGTGGGGGAGGCATTAACCTTTTTATCTGGATTGAAAATGAGACCCAACTATAAAGATATGAGACTAGATTCCTTGTCTTTCACATGCCAGGTGTGAGAGGCAAATTCCAAACAGTAATTCAAAAAATGTTCTGAATAATAGCAAAATCAACAAGAAAACATGTGTAGCCTTCCCAAGTGGCCACTTTGAAAGGGCAACCCTCAACAGATGAATTCTTAGACATTTGTGTACAAAAGGATGACTTTGTACCTACTTGCAAATCATGCCTTTGCAGTCTCTGCAGAGATGAAGAATGTTCATAGGAGCCCAGGCTGTGCTCAGTACTGCAGAGGCCGTCACCCTGAGCAAGGGTGGCTCTGAGACATGAGAACCCCATCAGAGTGGACCCCACACGTGGTCAGGAGTGGGCTGCTAATCAGAGCAATGCAGTCACATGTCAGCAGGTGCAACAGGGGAGAGGGGAGGTTGGGCTGGGCTGGGCTGGGCAGAATCTTGTGTGAATTAAGCCTTCCCACAGGGCGGGACACCCTATCTCAAACATGAGCCTTGGTTAAATCCCTATAAAAGGCCTCATCATGCTGACCTGGTACTCCACACACCACTTGGAAACCACTCACTTCATCCTGTCTGGGAATTAGGTAAGTTCCCCCTTGAGGAACCTCTTTCTCATCCCCAGTGTCTTGGTGATCTGAGCTCATAAAACCAGGGCTATCAGCTGTGAGCTGCTGGCATTACTGCTGGCTATCGCTGCTGCCTGTGGCCAGGAGCCACAGGACTTTGGGAAAAACATTCTCTAGAAGCAACTGTGTTTTCTCCTGCTCTGCGTCTGGCCGGGCAGCAGCTCCTCTCACCAGGAGACTATAGGGGCAGCAGCAACCGAGCTACCCATGTGCCTTTCTGGATCAGCAGAGGCCTCTAGCTTCTAAGGCCCTGGAAGCTTCTTTGCATGCTGAGAGTGTGTGGAATGAGATTCAGTTTACTAATGCCCCAGACATGCAGTCTAACAATCTTGTGCAGGAAGGGGCTTAGACACCCCTCTCCTGTCCCAGTGTGATAGTTAGGCAAGGTGTCTATAGATTTATTCTAAGGAATCTGAAGTGTAACTAAAACATCATCTCATAGTTTTTATTATTTATAGGTTAAGGGGTTAAAGTCTGCTGTAGGGTTTAAAAATAAAAGGATGTTTTTCATCTATGTTGAGAAATGTTCTGAGTATCTTGATATAAACAAGAGAAAAAGTCTACCTGACTGTCTTTGCCATCAGGTTCTAGAATTGATTCCCCCTGAGTAGCCCCCGTTGGGGTCTCTGACTCCCTGAATCTTTCTGGCCTCACTGACCTGCTTTTTATAGCACCCGAGTCTCCTTCCCTTTCTCCTCTGCTTCTCTAACTACATCTTCCTCTTCTTGTGCTCTTCTCCTGTCCTGGTGGCCCAGTGATGCAGGCCTCCAGCTCCCCTTGCTCTGGGCTTGGTCATCTTTGATGCTGTCCCCTCCTGCTGGTTGGTCTCTAAGGCTTCTGATAAATGTCTCTGCAAGTCTCTGTGCCTCTTGCCATTCCAGCCACTCCAGGCCTCACCTCAATCTACCTCCAGATTCCTGGCTAATGAAGAAGCACACTTCCCCTTTGGCTGGGAACTTGACGAAGCTGCTTGCCAATTAGGCGGGCCACCCTGTCTGACTGGCCCGGGGGCTGAGGACAGAGGGTATACAGGGAAACGCAGACTCTCACCCTGGAGGGTCTCCTCTTGGGCTAAGGAGAGACGAGTTCCAAGGTTTCCTGATCCCGTCAAAGCTATGTGGCCTAACTTCTCTGAGTCTGTTTCCTCACCTATAAAAAGTGAGGATAATAAGGATTAAAGGAGACGATGCATAGGAAAGTGCCTGTGAGCAGCAGGGTGTATGTAAACGCACATAAGTGATGGGTGTGTGTGTGTGTGTGTGTGTGTGTGTGAGAGAGAGACAGCACATAATGACACTTAATAGCAAGCACTGAGAATGGGCCAAGCCTCTGCCAAGTGCTTTTTATGGGTTATCTCTTTAAATCTTCACAATAACCCCATAAAGTACTGATACCACTTTCCTTCATAATGAGTGAGATGAAGCACAGCAAGTGAACTCAGGCAGGCGTGAGCTTGGCCTCACTGCAGGCGGTGTGGCCAGCAGTGGCCCTCTGTGGATGCTGCCTCTCACCTCTGTGTGTTCCTCTTTCCCACATGTCAAGTACAGCGTGTGGGAAAGGATAAAGACAGACCAAAAGCACACCTGCATATGCAGGGAAAGGCCTAGAAGCCGCAGTGCCCAAGAAGAAACAGCTGTGGCTGATTATGACAGATGCTTTTCATGTTTTCCAGCATGACTTCAAAGATGCCCCCGTTACTACAAAACATTAATGGGATCATTGAGGCCTTTGGGCGCTATGCCAGGACAGAGGGCAACTGCACAGTGCTCACCCGAGGGGAGCTGAAAAGACTCTTGGAGCAGGAGTTTGTCGATGTGATCGTGGTATGATGTGTGGGCCAGGTGGGAGGGATGTAGCCAGGAGTGACACTTGTGTTGCAGACCCTGGGAAATTCAATAAGGCAACAGCTGAATCCAAGCCTGCTGGTGCAGATGGCAGCTGTGTGGGTAGATAAAAAGCAGAAAACAGAACATGATAAGGCATTGACAGGCCCTGGTCCTTAGAGAAAATACCTAATTCTAATTTGAAGGCAAGGTGAAAGGACTCTAAAGGACTCTCAAGGACTCTGCTCAGGGAGGAGCAAAGCCTCTGATGTTCTAGAAATTACTATAATCTATAATTGCTGCTTTCTTCTGCCTCTTAAATTTAATACAGTAAATATTCCTGTGTCTGTCTGAAATTTGATCATCCATCAGTAAACACTCATTGGAAGCACAGTTCTTTTTTTTTGTTTTGGGACAGAGCCTCAAGTTGTCCCCCTGGGTAGAGTGCTGTGACATCACAGCTCACAGCAACCTCCAACTCCTGGGCCCAAGCGAGTCTCCTGCCTCTGCCTCCCAAGTAGCTGGGACCACAGGCGCCCACCACAGCGCCCAGCTATTTTTTTTTGGTTGCAGCCATCATTGTTGTTTGGCGGGCCCGAGCTGGACTCGAACTCACCAGCTCAGGTGTACGTGGCTGGCGCCTTAGCCGCCTGAGCCACAGGCGCCAAGCCGGAGGCACAGTTCTATGCCTTGTACAAAGCAGTTGCTCAAAAATATCAGTTAACCAATCTCATCAGAAATGCGGTTTTGGAGAGCACATTGTTAACAGCTCGGGGGAGAATATGGGAGCCCTACCCCACCACCAGGGCAAACCAGAACTGGGGCCTTAATGCATTTTCCTGCCTTTGGTTTGCATGGAAAGCTCCCAGATTGAGACCTTAGAGACAAGGTGCATAGGCACAGCCAGCATGCTCAGGGCAGTCCTCCTGTCCTGCTGTCCCCACCCACTCTATCTCAGGAAAACCTCTGAGCCTCCTTGAAGAGCTCACAGAATTCCCCTGTGCCCAGCTTCCCACTATGGTTCTCTTTACATGGGCCTTGCTGGAGAGAATAAAGCCTCAGCGCCAGAGGTTAAGAGGCCCCAGAATGGCCCAAAGAATCAAGCCTAGAGCCCAGACAGTTGAATTATGAGCTCGGTCAATTTATCTTTATCCAACTGTCCAGAAACTACACCAGACAGAAAGGATACAAAACAAAAGCTGCTTCCTACCTTTGTGAGAGAGACAGGACTAAAGTAAACAAAGAAAGCAAGGAAGTGTTAAGAAGCTGCGGCCTGGTGGGGGTGGGGAGCTGCAGTTCTCACCACCACACCTTCTCACCTCAGGGACGCTGACTCAGCCTGTCTTCTCCCCAGAAGCCCCAGGACCCAGCCACTGTGGATGAAGTCCTGCGCTTGCTGGATGAAGACAACACAGGCACTGTGGAATTCAAGGAATTCCTGGTCTTGGTGTTTAAAGTTGCCCAGGCCTGTTTCCAGACCCTGAGTGAGAGGCCTGAGGGAGCATGTGGCCCCCGGACATCTGGAAGCCTCCACCCCGGGGCCTCAGCAGAGCTGGGGGAAAGAGAGAAAAGTGGCCCTGATGGAGGAAGATCCGGGAAGGGGCAGCATCACGAGGGGAACGGCCGCAGGCAGAGGGAGCAGGTGTCTAAAGGGCAGGACAGGACTGGCACTCAGACCCAGGGGCAGGACATTGGCACTACTTGGGTCAGTGGCGATGTCAGACAAGCTAGGTCCCAAACACAGGAGAGGACAAGCCAGCAGGAACAAGTGCTTGGGCATGGGGAACAGCCCCAGACAGCACCAGAAAGCCAGAGCCAGACCAGAGACAGGTCAGACAGACAGTCACAGACCAGGGAACAGGACAGAACATGTCACACAGGTGACACTGTGACTGCAGTGGGAACTCAGACCCAGGCAAGCACCAGTCAGAAGGTGGAGCAGGACAGGAACCATCAGACAGGAAGCACCAGCCCCAAGGCACAGGAGTCCACCCATGGCCAGAACAGAGGGACAGAGACCCAAGGTCAAGACAGGAGCCAGACCAGCCAGGTAGTGACAGGGAGACAAGTCCAGACACAGGTAGGGTCACACACTCAGGCCGTGGAGCAGGACAGGAGCCATCGGACAGGAAGCACCAGCCCCCAGGCACAGGAGTTGACCCATGACCAGAACAGAGGGACAGAGACCCAAGGTCAAGACAGGAGCCAGACCAGCCAGGTAGTGACAGGGAGACAAGTCCAGACACAGGCAGGGTCACACACACAGACCGTGGAGCAGGACAGGAGCCATCAGACAGGAAGCACCAGCCCCCAGACACAGGAGTCCACCCATGACCAGAACAGAGGGACAGAGACCCAAGGTCAAGACAGGAGCCAGACCAGCCAGGTAGTGACAGGAGGACAAGTCCAGACACAGGCAGGATCACACACACAGACTGTGGAACAGGGCAGACACGAGACTATAAACCACGAAGGGGCTGGAGAACAAGGACAGACCCAAATCCAGTCAGGCAATGGAAAAATATGGACACAAGTGAGCAACTCTGAAGTAGGCGAGACAGTGCTGGGAGGACAGGCCCAGACTGGGGAAAACAGTGGGCCAGGAAGCCAGGATTGGAGCAGCACTCAGCCAAAGTGCAGTGTGACAGGAGGGCAGGGAAAGAGAGAGCCCACAGTGGTCAGCCAGGAGTGGATTGATGACCAGACAAGGGAGACAGTGGTCCAGAGCCAGGCCCAGGGCAGCTTGCACACCAGCATTGCTTCAGCACAGAGCCAGGGTGCAGCCCAGCTGGAAGGGAAGCAAGGTGGCACGGCCAAAAGGCTGTATTCCTACTTCAAAAGCAGCAAGCCATGACCCCCTGCCCCTGATACCAATGCCCAGTATCAAAAGAAGACAGCTGGAGAGAGAATGTCTTGTCCTGTGCTGGCCAGTCCAGCTGGTATATCCCTGGACATCTTCTCCTAATCATGATGCTTCCCTTATAGGTCTTTCTTGGTGAGAGCACTTTTGTAAACTCCTCTTTTACCTGCTTTGTTGCACAGACCCTCTCAGAAGCAGAAACACATAGAGCAAGTCATCCTTTGTGCTCAATTCTCCTCAGCCTGTTGGGGTTTCAGGACTACTTTTATCTCTGCCAGGTCTCTTGCTTCATCTACCCTAATAAAACCTTCTCAAGCAACTGACTTGGGTCTCATTCAACTGCCTTCTACTGATGGATAGGCTAAGGCAGGGGGCCTCAAACTTTCTAAACAGGGCCAGTTCACTGTCCCTCAGACCACTGGAGGGCTGGACTGCGGGCCCTGGTAAGAGTCGGCTGCTATGCAGGACAGGCAGTGGCAGCAAAAACACCCAGCGGGCCAGATAAATGTCCTAGGCGGGCTACATGTGGCCTGTGGGCTGTAGTTTGAGAATGCCTGGGCCAAGGGCTACAGGGCTGTCAGGATAATGAACTGGACATGATCCCTAGCCTTGAAGAGCATCTAGTTGAGATGTGTTGGAGTCAGAGAAAGGAGATATCATACTTAATATTTGGCAGAGATGGAGCAGGTACATTTCATCTAAGATGCTTTCTTATCATGGCCCTTACAGGACAAGTAGGATTTAGATAGGCAAAGTTATTCCTGGTCTTTCGTTCTTCTAATTCTAGGGTGTTGAACTACCATTCACTTGTAAGGTCATAGAGGTAAACTGACTTAAGGTTACTGATGGATGGAATAAAACTCCCAGGGGCAGTGGAAGGGAAGGGAGAAGGCACGCATTCCCAAGCCCTGGCCCAAGAGCTGGAGCCCAGGGGCCTCTCCTCCCTACATCCCCATCTGCTAGAGATGAACAAGTTATAACGTAGAAACTATCAGTTCTGGTTTATTGTAAGAATCACCAGAGGAACAATTTTTAAAATACAGATGTATTAACCTAAACCTACAGATGCTGATTCTAAAGTTTTGGAGTACAGCCTTTGAATATCTCTGAGAAATTTCTTAGGGAGACTTGTGCTTCTGGCAGTACATAGGCTAAATACTCTGAAAGACCCCTCCAACAAAGTAACTAGATCCTGTATAAAGCATATTTTTCACTGAATTGTTGGTTTACAGGAAGTAAGGGAAATCTCCAAGGAAAACTCAAAATTTGATAGTCTCAATAATAACCACCAAAGATATCCATGTTCTAATTATAGGAACCTGTGAATGAATATGTGACATTATATGGCAAAAGAGACTTTTCAGATTTGACTAAGGATTTTGAGATGGAGAGTTATTCTGGATTATCTGACTGAGCGCAACATAATTACAAGGGTCTTAAAGAGTTCAAGTAAAAGCATCAGTGTCAGTAAAAGGAGGTATGATGATGGAATCAGTGGTAATGGCCGTGTGCTCCAAGCCAAGGAATGTGGACAGACTCTAGAATCTGGAAAAGGCAAGGAATTTTCCTCCAGAACATCTGGAAGGAATGTAGCCCTTCCATCACCTTGATTTTATACTTGTAACCTCTAGGGCTATATGAGAGCCCTCAACCTTTTGGCACCAGAGACTGTTTTCATGTGACAATCTTTCCATGGACCTGGGGTAAAGGTAATAGTTTTTATATGAGTCTGAAAAAAATTGATTTATTATAGTCTATGCAGTCAAACCTCTCTTCTGATGATAATCTGTATTTGCAACCACTTCCCAGTGTTAGCAGTTGCTGCCTCAGCTCCACACAGGAGCACACAACTTAAATCCCTCACATGCACAGCTTACAGTAAGGTTCACACTCCTATAAGAAACTATTGCCACCTCTGATCTGACAGGAAGCAGTACTCAAGCAGTGATTCAAGTAATGGAGAGCAGCTATAAGTATGACTAAGATTCACTCACTTGCGGGCTTCTCACATTGTACGGTGTGGCCTGGTTCCTAACAGGTCACAGACTAGCACCAGTGCACAGGCCCAGAGGCTGGAAACCACAGCTGTATAAGAATATAATTTTTATTATTTTAAGCCACTAAGTTATGGCAATCTGTTACAGCAGCAATAGAAAATTAATACACAAAACAAAATCTCAGAGCTGGAGCCAGAGTAGTAAGAAGTAAATGTGTGAAAGATAAGGTTGCCCTTCTGAGAAAAAAATGATTTGATATCCATTTTATATCCAAACTGGCCTTTAAGTATAAAGGTCAAAGACAAATAGCAAAGACCTTGCAAAGACTCAGGAAATATTGTTCCCATACATCTTTTCTGGGGAATCTACTAGAGAATAAGCCCCATGTACGTACTCACACATGAAATCTAGAATCATAGAAGTGCATGGCATAAAAACTGATATATTTAACTATAAAACTAAGACTAAAGAGTGTTGATAGAGGTGGCAGAGTAGCATTTAATGTTACATGCTCTGAAAATATGCAATATAACTAACAAAAAGTGAAGAGAGAAGGAGAAAGTATATAGAAAGTAGATTAAGTGTGTGTTTATATGGACAAACTGATAGTAAAAGGATATCAATTCAAACCAAATACTGAGGGAGAAATGAGGGTAGGGTGAAAATTTTTTCCAAAAATTTCGTTATTATTTTATTTAGGGAATTAATAGAACATATTAAAAGGAGAAAAGATACAGGATATATATGACATAAAGATGCACTGTAAAGATAACATTACAATAAAAAATACAAACTTTCCTCAACACCAAAAGATATTCTAGGGAAAAAAAAAAGCAAATAAAACAGACAGTATAGTGAATGTTATTTATGTATGAGGTATATTTGCACAAATAGGACATAAAAGAGTATGTAGACTATGGTCAGACATATTTGTTATAACAATGCAAAGGGCTTATCTCACTGTAAAAGTGAAAGAATGGCATTGCTGACAGACTATCTAATGGAGAAAAATAAACTAACAAAAAAAAAAAAAGAAGAAAGATCATAGCCCCTTGGTTCAATTAACCACCTGTGGAGAACCCTAAGGAGTTGCAAAGGATATGGACTAACTTTATAGGTGTATTCTTGATTTTGCACCACACACATTTTTATTTCCTTTATCAAAATGGCTCTCTAGCTAGTCTGACAGAGCACCTGACTTTAAGAAACAAACAAATGAGCAAACCAGGGAAAGTGTTTGTTTTCACAGAACTTGAAAAGAACTGAAAAGATACAAAAAGCATGACCCTCCCCAAGGTCCCACCAGACCATATTCCAAAGACCCTGATTAGTCAGCCTCACAGAGAAGAGAAAAAAGAAAAAGGAAAAACTGATGCAGCTTATTCTGCCTTCTGCTGTCAGCTGGAAGCAATAACTATTTTTTTCTTTCTCTTTATCCCTGTAAAAGTCCTAAACACCTTACCCATACCACTGACACTTCTTTCTTTGTGCTATGCCCTTCCCATACTTTGGGAAGTAAAGTAACCTTTTTACTTCTTTCTATCCTATCCTTTGTGTGGAGAATTCTTATACATCCTGCTCTGTGATTTCCCACCCTAACAAAAAGAACATTTTTTTATATTAGCTCTGTAAAGTCTTTGCTCTTTACAAGACACAGCCAAATCAAAGACAGAAAAAAACATTTAAGGCAGGTAGTTAAATTAATATATATCAAGAAAATTCAGGTTATAACAAAATTCAAAAAACAAGTGTCTTGCTTTTGATCCCAGATCGGGTCAAAAAGCCTTAAATAAGATAAAGACGGATACTTAAAATGCCAAAGGGTATAATTTCACAATAACAATATGGAAGTTTTTAATATCCATACATTCACTAGTAGCAAAACTCTGATAAAGCAAAAACCACAGAAGACACAAGGACAAACACAGAAAACATAATGATAATAGCGCACCTTAACCACCGGTCTCACTTTAAGACAGTACATGTAGAGAAGAAACAGCACAATCAGTAAGACAAGAACTCTTTTATATATGTAGATAACACAACAATCTCTTGATCTAACAATAAAACTCCATCTTCTATGTATGAAATATTCAATATCAGGCCAAAAAGAAGACTTTGAAGCATTATGAAAAACAGAAATAATACAAAAAGCATTCTTACAGGCACATGAAATATCAATGAGTTCTGCCAGATCTGTGTTATTGCTTCTACCATTGTTGGAAATTACCAGCACACCCACACACATACACATACACACTATTAAACAGCTCTTGAATAAGAAGTGATGACTAGAAAACAAAATTGCAGAACTTTTAGAAAATGATGATAATTAAACTAGACATAAAAACAATATACAAAAACAGAATATCCCAAAAAAATTCATAGTCTTAACTAAACATTGATAAAAATTGAAATATATGAATTATAAGTGCAAATTAAGAAGCTAGAAAAATACCTATGAAGAGAACAACAAAGTGTAAGGAAAAGTTAATAAAAAGTATAAGGAGAAATTAACTAAAATTTTTTAAAGTCAATAAATAAATAACTTTTTTGTAACTTAACAAAGTAGAAAGCCACAAACCAACCTAATTTTTAAAAAAGACAAAAAGGTAGGGAGTGAGAAAGCACAAAGCCAAAATAAGAAATAATAATGGGAAAAGATATAAATAATTCACAGAAGAAAAATGAACCTTAAGTGTATGAAAAGATTCTAAAGCTTGTTTATTATATTAGAAACACAAACGAAATCTTTACTAAGATATCATTTCTAAAATTTGAGAATAGGTATTGTTGATGGGGTTATGGAGTAGCAGACACTTTCATGCTTTCTGGTGGGAATGCAAAATGATACAGTCATATTAAAGATGAATTTAGTAAAATTCATCAATATTACACGTGCTTGTTTTATTCTTGCTCTTTCCTTAGTGGCTAAAGTGGTGCCTGGCATGCAATAATTATTTGTTGAAAGAATTCAATGACTTGATACCTCCTTTC